AAAAATCCTTCCATATAACATAAATCATTCCAAATCAATTCGACACAACTCAATATACAAAATTTAAAAATCATTCATGAACATAAATCGGACAAAATAAAAATAAACAATGTAATTCAAACCCATTTTGCCTTATCACTTTTGAATTTTGTTAAGAAAATTTAAATTATAAATCACATTTGTCTGCCCACTGGTTAACTTTCGATTTTCAAAGGTAAAATAACTTGAGTAGACTATTTTTGGAGATCCGGCAAATCAAGGTGGCGCCAGAATTATAGTGGTAGACTAGACGACGATGTCGTAATGACATCACTGTTAAAGTAAATTGGTAAAAGAAAATGCAAATTTAGGTTCTATTTACCTGAAATTTTATTGGAAAATGACGATTTATAGTAGATGTGGTAATTGTGGAGAAATTATAGACAAATTTTGAAGAATTAGTAGGGTTAGAATTTTGGTAATAGCGGTGAAGGAAATAGTCATGCGAGAGAGAGAGATAAATTGTTAGATTTGTTGTGATTTTGTCAAAAGAAAAAAAAACTATTTGAAAATAAAACGGTTCGAGATAATATATATGACACGATATGAAGTATATGATTCCAAACAAACATCAAGATAAAATGTAAAGAATTAATGGATAGAGAAACGAAGTATTTTATTCAACTGACTAATATGGAGAAAACAAAATACAATAACTGTGCCACACAATTACTTCAGTAAATACAAACATTGTGAAAAGAGTCCAGTATTTATATAAGTGCATGTCAAACCCTCAAAGTACCACAAAGATGGTCAAAAATCATTTGGAATAAAGGAAGAAATATTTTTGTATTAAGAATGAGTGGAATAAAGGAAATAATATTTTTGCAATAACAACGAGTGGAATAAAGGGAACAATATTTTCCCAAGAAATCTAATCGAATTTAGATTACAAACACAACAATCTCCACTTTGAAACTAATTTTGATGAAAAGAACGAAGATCCAAAAGAAATCCGACTGCAACGAAAAATTCAAACTCTTCAACAAGAACCAAACTTGCTCCAACACAAAAATACTTGTCCTCTTCCACAATATCTAACACGGATACATGAACTCAAACACCAAATTTTCTAAAATTCATAAAGAATTAGAAATTACTAAGCAGTGTCGAAGCATACCTTGTAGTAAAATTAACTCCCAATGCTTTTCATGGAAGGCCATGGTTAGTCTCAACACCTTCAAAAATGCTAAAAACATGTGCAACCGAATCAGCATTTACGTACCTATCTCCAATGGGTCTATGCATAGTAGTTGAATATGATGGAACTACATATAATAGTGGTAAAGCAGAATTACCCATATTGTTCAAACTCGACTGAGTAATATTATTCAATATGGACCCTGAAACAAATCCCAAAGACATAGTACCAAACTGAATTTTCACCACAGTACTAAATCTGTGCTGACTTTTCTTCATAAATTCTATCCGACCTTGCAAGATGTATAACTGGGATCTCTTCCGCCATTCTAATACAACATGAAACCCATCTGAACTCTCAAGGTTCCATCTCCCTCCAGAGAATGTGTACACTTTTGAATCAAGAGTACTCAACGAAATGTGATTCTTCTTCAGTTTGAAATATGTCGAACATGATCGAGTGTTTTACATGTTTCGTTCACCATCTTTAATATGACTCTACCAATACCAACTACCCCGATAAAATTTATTGTTACCTATGACAACGACACCTTACATCACCATTTCATATGTTTCAAACAAATCTCGATTGGGACATAAGTGAACTCACAAGCTGTATCCAAAATCCCTCCTCGCCAGGTTTAAATTTTATGTCAAAAATTGTCAAAATATATCCATTTTTCAAATAGTTCTCAACTATGTTGGTCTCGTCTGAAATGTTTGCTTGTTTCTCATGATTTGCAGTCAAATTGTCTTTCTTATGCAATTTGTTGCAATCCCTCTTAATGTGTCATTTATTCTTGCAATAATAACAAACCCGATTATTGAAATTTGACCTTGACTTACCCTTTCTTTAATCACCATGAACAACAAGGCATTTCCCATCTCTGACATTAGATCCAACATGATGCTTCATTTTCTCATTGGAAAATAAAGCATCATATGCATATTCAATAGTGAGGGTATCTCGACCATGCAAGACCGTGTCTCTAAACGAACCGAGCGGCGAACACAAAAGGATTAATGCCAAATCTTTTTCGTCATAATTTATCTCTGAAGTCTTCAAATCAACGACAATATCCTTGAACACAGTCAGATGATCTTTCAAAGATTCGCCTTCTACCATGCGATGACAATACAACATTTGCTTCAATGCAATTTGTTTGTCAAATTGTTAGTCATGACAATAGCTCCAACTTCAACCACAACGCAATTGCCTTTTTTTCCTTGAAAATGTATTGAAAAATATTGTTAGAGAGATGAAGTTGGATTTGTGAAAGTCCCTTCTAATCCTTCAGTTGTTTTTCCTCCATCTTCCAAGTTGTGGACATTTTGTCAAGTTCAAACAACACATCATCCAAGTTCATATGTACGAATACAAATGGAATTTCATACTTCATGCCATCAATAACAAAAATCCCCCGAACAAATCAAAATCAATAGCTCTGATACTACTTGTTGGGAAATAAAACGAATCGAGATAATATATATGACACGATATGAAGTATATGATCGCAAACAAACAGTATGATAAAAGACAAAGAATTAATTAGCCGATGAACGTAATATTTTATTTAATTGATTAATATGGAGAAAACAAAATAAAATTATAGTGCCTACATAATTATTCTATATTTCAATAAATATAAAATTTGTGAAAAGAGTTTAGTATTTTTAAGGGTGTATGTTAAACCCTAGATATACCACGAAAATGAAAATAAGATTAAAAAAAAAAATCACTTGAAACAAAAGAAATAATATTTTCCCAATAAAAGTACGTGAATAAAGGAAACAATATTTTTTCAAAAGAAATCCAATCGAGTTTGAGTCACCAATCAATTATTAGACACCATTCTTTACACCATATTTTAATTGCTTTAAGGTACTCAACTTTTTCTCATTATAACATTTACGTTTTTAACTTTTCTAATCAAATTCTTATCTTCAATATTAAATAAATAACCACA